AAGCTCTCTCTCTCTCTCTCTCTCTCTCTCTCTCGCTCGCTCGCTCGCTCGCTCTCTCGTCTGGTGCTCTCGTCTGCTGGTGGTCGCTTAACAGGTTCAGCAATTGCTTGCGAACCGGAAGGAAGGGTGCGTAATTGCCACGTGTCGGGATCCCGCGGGGGCTGCGGATCTTAATGCGCTGCACGAGCGGTATCCCGGCCGTCTGGAGATCATCAAGCTGGACGTGACCCAGCCAGAGACGATCGAGGTGAAGTGTGTGTGTGATGGTGACTTTTCCACCTGAGTGGAAATTTGATGGTTTATTTTGTGATTATTCTTGATTGAATTAATTATTAAAAACACGCAAAAAAAAAAAAATCGTCCGCGATTTTTTATGATTAAAATTTAAAAGACTTATTTAGCTGTTTATTGATATTTTAATAATTTTATAAATTTATAAATTTATCACCCCTTTGACCATTTGGAAAAAGTTCAACTGTGAGTGAGTATGGCCTGCCATGAAAAAATTATTTACTTTCAAATTTCAATTAACATCGTTATCCCCTTCGACCATTTGGATTTGAACCTTTTTTTTTTTTTTGTGTCTGTGATTGAACTTGTTTTGGTTTTGAACTTCCTTTTTTTTTTTTTGGTCTGTCAATGAACTTGTTTTTTTAACTTCGTAAAATTTTTAAGAGTTTTTAAAAGTTTTTAACAAGTTTTTAACAAGTTTTTAAAAAGTTTTTAAAAGTTTTTAAAAGTTTTTTAGCCAATGAGGCGCCTTTTTTTCATGAAGGCAACCGATACTGGCATTATGTACTCTTTATTTATTTATTTATTTGGAGATATTTTTTTGGACCATTTCTCGATTTATGCGTGTCATCCTTGCGCAGGGGCCATGCTAATCTTCCTTCTCTGTATCGTTTTTTTTCGAGTTTTAACGGATGTCCTGAAAGACTATTGACTTTTTTCTGATAGCACGCAGATGTTGAAAAACAGAAGGGCTGATGCAACCCTCCTTCCCCAGACATAAGATACCCTGCTCGTGAATGTATACAAACTATCTTTCCGGTCTGATACGGTCATGACAGGGGTTCATTCTGTCCAGAAGAATGTATACAAACAATCGTTCAACATTTTCGAACGCCGGTTCCTTGTACCTGGTCGATAGCCCAGTGGGGCACTAAGTCCCATTTACCTCAGGTAAAACACATGGAATGCGCAGTAAACAGATCTGCTGCTCAAATCCCGATGGATGCAATGAAGTTAGGGGCTCTAGTAGGGGTCTTTAACCCCCCCGTACTTCCTAAGAAGTCGTGCCCGTTAACAAGCCACAATTTTAGGAAACGTACGGGCCACTACAGGAGCGTCCAAGTTCATCCGACTAGAAACGTTTCTACTCTACTACTTTTTTCCGCGGCCAATAGCTGGTGGTTTAGCAACAAAAAGAAAAAAAAAAAAAAAAGACAGCTGGGAAAAAAAAAAAAAAAAAAAAAAAAAGACAGCTGCGAAAAGCTAGGGAATATGCTGAGGGAAAAGTCCATTCCAATACCTCTCTCGGACTCAAAAGTTTTGGCTAAAAATAGATCAAATGTCCTTTTTTTTTTATCTGTTTTTAAATTTTTAGCTATTTTTTAAATCTATTTTTAGCCAAAACTTGAAGTCCGAGAGAGGTATTGGCTAAAAATAGATCATAAGGACCTGTTTTATGGAAAAAAA